GTGTTTCGATGTGTCTCAATGATTCCCAATGGTCTTCGTGGTTCAAGATAAGCTATCCCACAATGCATCATTGTTGTTAGGAAGTGATCCTTTTACACTTGATGTTTTATTCCGCGGACTTTTTTACACCAGTCCACGTTCTATCACCCCTAATTAAATCTAACCATCATCCATTAGTTGAGAGTCTATAAAACGGATACGGATGTGTGTGTGTGAAACCACTTTAATTCTTCTGGCACAGCGTTCCACATCACCGCAAAGGACTTTTGAGAACTTTTTTTGAGCTGAGAGCTAATGAAAAGATTCATTAGTGGTGCTTGCTAAGACAAGAATCATCATTATTATTGATTATACTTAGGGTTTGGGATTTAAAAACCCATAGCTCATCCCATCCCACACCGTTTGTGCTACGGGCAAATTTTGCAGATGTTCACACTTTTATACATAATTGGTTATAGTTTGTAATATTAGTATTTTACTACTAATCCTAATCATAATAGGGATCATTGATAATATTCACAATATGTGTTGTAGTCCGTTATTTTACTGTTTTTTTGCTTATTGGTATCATATTGGCCGATCTGTAAAAAATATTCCACAGTCTATGTTAAAATATAGTTTTAAATGATATGCATATAGTTTTGTCTCTTAAAGGGATAGTTCACTTTGAAATTAATTTTTGGTATGTTTTAGCTTACCTCAAAGGCATCCAAGATGTAGGTGTCTTTGTTTCCACAGTATTTTCAATTTTGATATTTTAGGTCAAACCGTTTGTCTATCAGTCATATAATGGAGGTCTATGGTCACCACCTCTAAGAGCATGCACAGAGAAGTCCAAATTAAATATGATTCAATGACTCGTAAATGTAAGTACACATTGATGGCCTAAGACAAGAAACGAGCGGTTTGTGTGAGAAAACGAACAGTATTTATATCATTTTTACCTCTTGTAACCACGGCCTCAGATCACTTGGACGTGGCTGTGGTTAAAAACGATATAAATACTGTTCGTTTTCTCACACAAACTTCTCGTTTCGTGTCTTAGGCCATCAATGTGTACTTACATTTACGAGTCATTAAATCTTGTTTAATTTGGACTTCTCTGTGCATGCTCTTTGAGGTGGACCCCATAGACCTCCATTATATGACTGATAGACAAACGGTTTGACCTAAAAATATCAAAATTGAATATACTGTGGAAACAAAGACACCTACATCTTGGATGCCCTTGAGGTAAGATAAAACATATCAAAAATTAATTTCAAAGTGAACTATCCCTTTAACTTTAGTTGCGTTTGTTCTGGTTATGAAAGAACCCCCATGTTGCAAACGTGAGAATGACAGGTTGTAATTTTACACTATATTGTCTGTCTGTCTGTCTGGTCCCCCTGCGTGTGGCATCTGCAGACTAAATCCTAGCTGTCAGCACACCCCTCTGTGTGGTAACATAAGCCCACTGTCCACAGAGTTACGGGGAGTATCGGAGAGAAGCTTACACGCTCCTGCTCTCTGTGCAGAACGCCGTCTCCAAAAGTCTTCTCAGGACAGGGGAGGGAGGGAGGGGGAGGGAAACTTTCAGAGCGGTCGAGCCGATAGACAAAGACACAAGGAAGCTGCACTGCACCGGAGCGCAGAAGTCCAGACTCAGCAACTTCTATTGATTAAAAACTAACCTTCCAGTTTCTCCGCTGCGCTTGCGGTGAGCAATAGAATTTAAACGAGCCGTAAGCCCGAGCCTTCCACGCCGATGTCCAACCTGATAGGATCCACTCAATCTCGCAAATCATTTCATTGTTCTTAACTACTTTGAATCATTTACCGCATTAGCCTGCTGAAGCTTTCAATGAAGCCTAGAAATTAATGCATTTAAAAAGTACATTATTATGTGTTCAAAAATAGCCAGTTATAAGATATAGATATTATATACATCTATAAAAACAGATAGGTTTATGCATATTTTAATATCTTTTAATTTCTTTTGTATGTTTTAATTAAGCACTATATATGTTTACAGACTATATATAAACTGTATTTGGAAGTATGGTATGTAAGTAATATATAATATTAATTTAAATACACTCCATAGACCTTAGGTGAAGTTAATTTATATAATGCATTAATAAAAAAAAGAAGTGCATATGATTATTTAAAATAAATAATACTTAAATATACCTAGCATATGATTTTACATACTAAAGTATCCACTTTTCACTGTTAGGTATAATATCTATATGGTATATAGACCATTTTGCAAGATGTAAACAACACTGGTCCAGAAACACTTCCTGTTTCAGTTTGTAACTGTTTTTTTTTTATTTCACATGTAAAGAAAACATCTTAAAGATGTTTGTTTAACTTTTTGATTCAGTTTTATATGTTCATTTGTTTGTATTTTATCCCAGCTTTTATGTAGTGTAAAAAAACTGAAACAGGAAGTGCTTCTGGACCAGTGTTGTTTACATCTTGCAAAATGGTCTATATAAAGTGACAAAAAATGCATTTATATGATGCATTATTTAGATATTCACACTGCTCATAATTTCAAATAATGAAATATTTACATATGCTTTTAGTGTGGAGTATTAGATCTATTATATAACAACAATATAAATGCACTTAATTTAAAGCCTATTTTTATAATGTATTAAAAGAGCATTATTTAAAAATGCTTAATGAAATATTTACATATTAAACCTTCAGTGTGATGCATGTCCATCTATCTATCTATCTATCTATCTATCTATCTATCTATCTATCTATCTATCTATCTATCTATCTCAACTGAGTCTTGTGTGCAGGGCAGTAATGTGCAGCCTTGTTTTGTAATTAGAAGGCAGTCCTTGAATGCTTCTCTCTGAATGGATGAAAACCCAATGGGCTTAATTAATTAAGGCTGGTGATTGGTGGACAGTGTGTAAGCATTATGAGTTGAGCAGTGGGAGGAGCATGTGAATCACTGCAAACGCTGAATCAATAGCGTGTGTATTTGCAGCAGAGGCCGGATGGGGCGGATCACTCGGACAGAACGCCGGCCAGGAAGAGAATAGTAAGACAGGGAGTAGGGAAAGAGGGATCAGAGAGGGAGAGAAAGAAAGGGGGATAAGGAGGCGTGAGGCCCGGCCTTGCTAATGATAGTCACGTATACGGCTGTCTGGTTGTCCCTGGCAACCAGACATGATGTAACACCAGGATGAACTTGAACTTGGTGGGAGGAGGGAAGTTGGAAAGGGGAGGGGAGAACGGAGTGAAAAAGTGGGCGAGCACCGAACGACACTTGCTCACTTGCTGGAAACGTGAACAATGGAGCACAGCAATCAATAAGCCCATTTCACTGAAGGATTACAGGGTGCAGCTCGCTAACCTCACCACTCCAGTCTACAGACAGACGCCGTGTGGCGGAAAGTGCCGCAAAGGCATTCAGAGATGGACAGGAACAGGAAAAGAACATGTTGTTGAGCTGAGCCCTCACAGAGTCAAGCACCACCTTAAGACCTGATAAACGAGACATAAGTGATCCCAGAAGAAAAGAAAACGCATTTTCTGATTTTATTTCAGGTACTGATGTTCAGGCTGTGAATTACAGCTTATAAAAAGCATTTAACCTGCCAAAGAAAGTCAAAACAAAAGGTTTGGGGATCTTAGTCAACGTTACAACAACTGATCTAACTTCTGTGGTGTGCTGTCATTTTGAAAGTGTATAATGAGAAAATCTACATGGGTCGGGGCTTGATTTTATCCATTGAGTATGGATAGCATCATGAAAAGTGATCTTTACTGTATATGAGAGAGGTGGCTGGAAGGGAGGTGTTAAACACATTTCGATGATAAAACAATAGTTTTAAATTAACATGCTCTGGTGAATCTTGCACTGTAAAACCAGGAACGTGTATTAAGAAAGTAAACAAGATAGGTAAAACTATATTACTCTATTTATTATCAAACAGCATTTTTAGTAACGTTTTCTCTTTATTATAGCTTTACATATCACAAGTATATCACAAATGAACTTTATTTAAAGCTACACTGTGTAACTCTTAGTTTATTCTTGGCTAAAAACACTTCGTTCTTTCAATAATATACGTGCTAATTAATGTATATTTACTTCGTTCAAGTAATAAAGTATTCTCGTGAGTGTATAATATGCCATACGGGTAAGGGGTTCTAATGTCGGTCGCCATGTTGCCCCTCCATCTTGAAAGTACGTTAGCCAAAGAGGGACATACCCGTTAATTCAAGCTTCGCCTTTCGCGTTTACGTTTGAGTTAACACTCATGGACGAGGTCGAACTGGAAGCCATGTTAATCTTGGACTACATTGGCCACCGTAGGAGTTAAAACGAAATCGGAATTGAGAGGAACAGAAAGTAATATTCACTGGACGGTCATATACCTTTTCACCGCTAGATGGGGCTAAAAATCACACAGTGTAGCTTTAATAAACAATATTTAGAAATTATAAAATTGAAACACTAAAATTAAAAAATATGAATTAATTAATTAATAATGGATACATTATTTAAAAAATACATTTAAAAAAGTTTTTAAGTTTTAATTAAAATAATCAAATACACACTGGCGTTCAAAAGTTTGGGGTCGTTTTTACGCTTTTGAAAGAAGTCTCTTTGGCTCATCAAGGCTGCATTTATTTGTTAAAATACAGTAAAAAATTATTACAATCTAAAATAACATGTCTATTTGAGTCTATTTTAAAAATCTAATTTATTCCTGTGATGCAAAGCTGAATTTTCAGCATCATTGTCACATGATCTTTCAGAAATCATTCCAATATGCCAATTTGTTGTGCCGCTTAACATTTTTTATTGGAAATCTTACTGACCTCAAACTTCTGAATGATAGTGTAATAAAAGAAAAAAAGTAATATTTAAAAAGAAAAGGTCAGATTGCAGCCCAAAAATGAATGAAATTAGCCAGTTAACACCATTGAAAGTCATTGTATATAAGTCATTGTAACCAGTGTTGTTCCTCTCTGTGTTGTTGCAGTGGTACCTGGGCTAAAGACTCCCGACACGGACCGGCCGCTCCCGAGGTCACACGACCACCCCCTCTGTCTCCCCTGAGTACGACCCGCAAACATGTACACCAGTCTGAACAGAGAGAAGCCACTTGCTGCCCCAGTACTGGACAGACCCACAGCATGGCTCCAGCAGAACCCCGCCAAGCCCTGGAACAAGAGGAACCGACTCAACGCGCTTACACCCACTTACTATATATCTATATAGTCCATATGTATTCTTCCATATGTATGGTTTACATGCCTATATTCATATATAGTATCTGTCCAGCTCTTCTGAGGGTGGAGCTCGAAAAAAAAAACAAAACAAAAAACAAGAGCTTTGTTTTCTCGGAAACGTGCACGTTTTTTTTTTTTTTTATGTTTCTTTGTTTTGTTATGTATTTTTTGGTTTACCCTCACAGATAGACGAGGAAAACGTAACGTGACACAATCAAAGAGCTTCCCGCATCTGTGCCTGTGGTCTTAAAGAGAAGTCTGAGGCGTTTCGAATCAAACACAGTCTGCGGCCAAGGGTCACGAACCCACAACCACCTGGAGGTCGGAGCTCTGCCTTTCTATCACTCGTGTTTTGACGGATCAATCCGGTTTCGTATCGTGAACGTTGGAGGTTTCGCCTGGGTCAGATATACCACCAGCTAATATCTCCATTGCGTCTTCTGACCAGGACCATTTCCTCCCCCTTCCACCATCACCACCACCATCAACACCATGTCAGATCAAGAACCCTTTCAAGGACTCAACCGAACCCCTCGCTCCCATTTTTTCTGTTGTTTTTTTTTTTTTTTTTTGGTCATTTAGGGGCAGGCGATGAAGAAGTCATGAACAGTGATGTTTGATATCAGGTCATTTTACCGTATACTAATGGGAGATCTCCCCACTTGGAGGCATGTTCATATTTTGTGTTTTTCGTACAAAAATCATCGCGATTCTTTCTACTAAACCCCATCGGAAGGTCTGTCGCACACCAAGGGCCGAGTGAAGGTTTGATCTTCCATAAACTTCAAGAAAAGGTTAACAGTGAATACTGAATTGAGGAAAGTGCAATTTTGTCGGGTAGATGTTGGATTGTTAAATATCTTTGTAAGATAGATCGTTGAAGCGATTGTTGAAAAGTATATATATATAAATATATATATTTTTCTTCCTAGTCCGTTCACACCTCCAGGACTCTAAAATATCGGGGTACAAAAAAAATAAATAAAAACACGTAAAGAGGAAAAATAGAACAAATAGCCTTGTGAGAAATAAGGGGAGCTGTAATTGATTTTTCTTTTGTTGTTGTTTTTTTTTATGTTTGTTTGTTAGCATTGTAGAACAAATGTCCCTTTAAGAAATATCACTGTTTTTAGGATTCCTGCTAGTTCGTTTTCAAAACGCTACAGCAATTGTTTTAATTTAACCAAGCACATGTACGCAGTTTGCAAGGAAACACGTAAAAAGCAAGGGGCGAACTAACTTCCTCGGAAACACTTTCGAAAAAATGTGAAGATCAAAAAAATGCATCCAGCTTCCTTCGCATGCAATTTTGTTGTTTTTGAGTTTTTGTTTGTTTCCTGTACGATATATATATATATATATATATATATATATATATATACACACACACACACACACTTACAGTGTCATCCACCGTCGATCAAAGCTCAGTAAAGTTTTAAAAAAAACAATAATAATAATAATCTGCATGTTCTAGTGTTAGTGCTAAATTTTTACGTAGATTACGTAGAGTTAAAGTAGTGTGAAAAATATTGTAATCCCAACATCGGGCACTTGCCGATCAACTATTTGTTTGGTCCCTTTAAAAAGGGTATTTTTACTGCTGTTCTCACAATCAACCAGCTAAACATCTCCTCTCTGACTCTTCTCAGCTTGTCGTCTCCCTTCCTCCTTTATTCCCGTCAGAACAATCATTTTCATGTCTCAAGAGCGACGTACGCACTTCATTGTCTTGTCGAACTGCACGAACAATTCCACATCGATGTGCCTTGAGCGATGGTCTAGTTCTGAGTTATTGCACAAGCTGTAATGTGGAGACTATTTTTTTTTTTCACATTTTCACCCCACCAGTGAAATTAGCGCTAATATCGGCGTTTGCTAATGATAATACACAGTATTAACTACATTTCGCTACTATCGGTCGTCCAATGCTTCGAAAATCCCATCATTTTCACTTCGATCAGTCGAAATCAATCATTCACCAACAGGTTTTGATGTCATCGAACCTTTTTTCTCAGATTTAACACTAGCGTATCGATATTGTTGCGATTTCTAAACGACGACTACTTTTTCTTTTCAGTCTTCCTGTTTTTTTTTCTTTGTTGTTGTTTTGTTTTTTTCATTCCCAGCAATGAATAATGAGGAAAAGAATATGCAATACTTGCTTGCACTCATATAGTCATTTTATATTTTATTTTTTTTCACCACCAAAGTGAGCACTTGACAGGTCAGTGTGCTTTTCATACCCGTGACACGAGAAAACGCCATTGATCAGCCTCACTTTCCTTTTTTTTCGGTCATAATCGAGCCTTAAAGAGGAGGAAACTTCCTTTCCATCACAAACACACAAGCGCGAACACGTCCAGGACAAAAAAATATGCCCAGTTGTTGTGTACATTTCGATGAAGTTCCATGTTATATTAATTGTTTACCTGTTTATTTTCTATTGCATATATCATTTAAGAAAAGAAAATGATGGGAATGAGTTTCCCAGGCATCTGATGTGATGGTTTAGTAGTTACACTTGTGTGAGTTGTTTTTTTTTTTTTGTTTGTTTGTTTCTTTTAGCGTGAATTTCTTTTTTCTTTTTCTTTTTTTTGTCATTGTTCTTGCCTACTTTTTAGAAATGAGTTGGGCATTACTTTCTTAATCGTCTGCACTAAATATAAAATAATGACAATTGTGATAATTGAGAAAAAATACTTTTAAAAAAAGAAAAAAAAGAAGAAGCTTCCAGGGCTTAAAAGAGCGAAGGGAAACATGATTGCACGGATTTTTTTTTTTTTTTTGTCACAAAAACCTTGTTTAGAGCAGCCTGGCATCTAATCAGCAAGATTGGCTGTGTGTGTAAGATAATGACAAAATTGCACCCTTTTTAAAGAAAGAAAAAAAAAGAGAAAAAGAATTTCAAGCAATAGTTTGGGCAGTCTGTTTTGTTCTCGTGTTGTGTGTGTAATTTAGTTTTTTGGTACAACGTTGGAGAAGACGCGAGCAAACCGAATCGATTAGATACGAGAGTTAGGGCGGACGCACCTGAGTATGGGAGATTTGATGTTTGTATATTGTATAGTTTTATTAATTACACTGATTTTAAAGCTGCCCTATTTTATAATGCAGGACTTTTGTAACATTGATTAAATGAGGAAAAACTAGTGTTGTGAATTTTCTGATTGTTTGTATTAAGGCCACATAAATAGAACTGGTTTTGTTTGTCTGGGGAACTGGATTTAAGTTGAAAACTTCCTGTTTCCTATTTTTTTTTTTTTTTTTTTGGCTTTCCTTTTTGTATGTATTTAAGGACTTATTTCTTCTTTCGATGGTATAGAAGTACTCCTATACTTGAAAAGTGTAGGATGCCGAGGTGAAAACCCCATTGTAAATGGATGTTACAAGTATGCTGTATGTTTTGAAGGTTATTTGTTGCATCAGTGTTGATGAAGCTAAATCTAGATAATTCTGAGGATGTTGGTAAGAAGAGAGCGTTTTTATGCATTTTAAAAATTAGTTTTAGGCAGAAGACAATGACATAGACAGCCAAAGGATGCCCCTATTATAAATGCATCTAGGCATCTTTTTGTGTTCACCATTCCATGCAGGAAAATAAACCGCTTGATATGCAACATGATTCTTTTTTCTTTTCAACTTCTTCATCTTTCTTCCACCGCCCACCAGCGCACGCACACACAAAGACACTCGAGCGGCGTTACACGACGGGAAGGTTGGTCACAACAATGAGGCGTCGATAAAGCCATTCCTCACTCGATTTTACATTGACCATAACTCACACGAAGACCGCTTGATGGTTGTTTAAAACACTAAAAAGTCATTCGATTCCTCAAAAAAAAAAGAAGAACTTTGACTTTTTTTTCACGATAAATGGACGAGATTCAGAGTCGAGCGATTTTCCATCCCTTTTCAATTTGATTTACACACGTTTTGTAAAATAATAGTCATGATCATTTGTGGCATTTTAAACGCAATCTGAATATTTTGAAACTCAACATTTCCACAATCAATGACCCTTTGTCATTTCCATTCAAAAACATCAACGCTAGTCCTAAAACAGGGTTGAATAAAGGTCCTGCAGGCCTTTATCATTTTTATGTCCCCATTTTTGTGGGCATTGCGTTATAACTTTCATTTGTTCGTTTGAAGCGGGGAACAAAGAATTTTGATGGTTTAAGGCAGGAATACGGCTTTATATCAGGGTATTATTCAATCATGAGACATTTTAAAATGTAAAAGCCAAAAAAAAAAGTATACGCCCATTCACTGTCGGCAAACCCATATTTCACTCTGGGGTTCGATTGGCCTCATTAAATAAAAAATGATCTGCCCGATGAGGACCTTAAAGGGCCTGGGATGACATAAACATGTTGTCAGCTTCATCATACCATGTATTTAACCCCATCAAGCATCAGTGGCAGGTGGCTTAACTGCACCGAACGGTATCATCACAAGGTGCTAAATCTCGCTAAAGTGGAGGCTAACCGGAAACGAGCCTGCTTTCGATAGCATAGCAGTGTAATCCGCATGACAACTATGCACTGACGACACGCTAATCTAATCAGTCTGGTACGTGCACCTTTGCCTTCCTCTTTTTTTAAAAACTTGTATCAAAATTAAAGGAATAATGAAACTTAAAGCAAACCAGCATTTTACCTGATGTATTTAAAAAGATCAAATGTAGTGCCTGTGAAAAACTATTATATCGCTCTCTGAATATCAAACCAGTTAACAGTTTGTAATCATTTCAGTTTTCTCTACACCAGTAGCCTTTTCTGATTCTAGCTGTTAAGTAACCAAACACACACTATAAACTGCATGCGCCTCCATTACCAACTGAAACATGACTCGATGATCTAACCCAGCTCTGCTAGTCGTCTTCTCAAAACTTCGTTCCGTTTACGTGTTCCGAACCAGTTCGTCCTGTAGTATTATTGCATAATGAAGTGATGTACACCAACTAAAATATGGCGTCCACTTAAATTGTAGGTTTTCCGGGTCCATGTCCTGCTGTAGCCCTCAGTGTATCCATTATCTCCAACAACAATCATGAAGGTCTGTGTTTCCTGGGGTTCCCACACTCGACAATCGATACTTGCTGTAGGTGCAATTCGCAATGTCTCTCGAGTTCTGGAGTTAACAAAGAAAGACTCTTTGGTGGGGATGAGAATCGTTAAGAATTGAATGATCCCGACTACTTAATGGTTTCTTTAATGATTCTTTTACTAAAAACGATTTGGCCTACACAACAATACTAAATAAAAATTAGGTAAAAATTCAATTAATTTAGTATTTTATAAAATATTAGACAAAATGCATGTGTATCTTTAACAACAATCTCGTGAACAATCAGTCAGCAACTACCGATTGAGTAATCACAGTTGTAAACCTAATGTTTCATCCATTGAATCGTTTGTTCACAAATCAGTGTAGCCTACTCTATTTGTGATGTTTTTGTTTCACAAAAAAAATAACCGTTTAGGGATTTGCACTGACGTTAAGCTCTATGAAAAAGACGCGACTCAAAGAGTCATTCGTTCAACAATCAGAGTACAGTTTTCGATTCACTGAAAAGAATCGTGAGTCATTCTTTCGGTTGACTTAACTTAAAAAAAGTGAGGAAACGATACTAATCTTCATGCGTAATTGAAACTTGACAATTCCACACAACTTAATTTTTTCAAATACGCATAGTTTATTTACTTAATAATTTTAAGGCAACAAGTTTCCTCGCTAAGTTACGTCAACTGATCACTCTTTATAGTGTGATTGAGCAATAAAGACTAAAAAGACTCACTCGTGCCCTTGTGATCCACTTTCGTGGCGAGTTTACCATGATTAAACTCAACGGCCTGCCTGATTACTACTTTCTAGTAATCGCGAAGACCTTGATTTGCTTGTTTGATGAGCGTTGGAGCTCTCCAAGAAAGTGGATCTCGAGGGCCAGAGTTGAGAACTCCTGGTTTGTGTTTTGTTGCAGTACTGCTGAATAAGTTGTGCAGGACCTGTCAAAGTATGTCAGCTGAAGAATTCACGCGCGAGAACCGTTAGCAGATAGCAAACTGACATTGAATCAACGTGGAAACATGACATCGAAACAACGTTGATCTGACATTGTTTTGCTCATCGAATTAACGTTGAACCAACGTCAGACACGTCATTCTTTCAAAACTAACGGAAAATCAACTTGAAATCAACGTTGTTTCAACGTTATGAAAGCAAACCAATTTTCGATTTTCATTTAGCTTTGAAGAATGCTGTGTCTGACGTCGGTTGATCGTTGTTTTGATGTCATGAGAGAAGTCGTTTCCACGTTGATTCCATGTCAATTTGCTGTCTGGGGATTGAGTTTAGGAAGTCCCGTAAAAGAGACATTCGACTTGGAGAAAACTAAAGGGTATGGTTCAAACTTCAGGGAGAGTGTTGAGATTTGAAAATAACACAAAATGTGAGCATAGTTTGTGTATCTACAACATCCAGAGCCATCAAATCCAACCAGACATGAGGTCTTCTAGTTGCCAATTAAAGTGTTTTCTCTTTGTTGGTATTGATTATCAAATATCTTAAGGTGTTTTTAAATTCTAAAACCACATTTTTGGAAATGGATGTGCTGTGTGTGTGTAAAGTCCGAGGACTAACGCTTCTGAACGTGTCGGATTCTGTTCAAAATGAGCCAGCACCGCGGGCCTAATCGTAGAGAAGACAATCCCGGTGGTTATCGTGAAAGATTACACATAAATCGCTGATGTGATGTTACCAGACCCCTTCAACCAGCTCCACCACTCCATATCTTCATGTCCATCATCATCATCATCCTTTGTATATCCAACCCGACCTCATGAGAAAAAAAACGACTATTTTACTAAGTGGCGATTTTGTGTCAATTCGTACGATTTGAATCGTACAAAAACGCATGATTTCGTATGAAAATTTTTTTTTTTTTGGAAGGTCCACCCCTAAACCTAAAAGCCAGGGGGAGTAAGCATATCGTACAAAAATGTAGGCCTACGAATAACATGAATTACCCACCAAATTCGCCAAAGCGTAAATTAGTTACAAACTGCCATGAGAATGTTGGTATACCATTAACAGGTCCATCACACACCTCAAAAATCACCATATACGTACTATGTTTTAGATACAATCTAAAGTAAATTGTAAAAAAATAAATAAAACCTTGTGCCTCTAATACATTTCCTGAAGAAAAATTCACGTTGTATTGGTACCAGCTCCATTAACTAGTTCCATGGAGCTTCTGTATTTGAGCTGTGAATAATTTTGTTTGCTTTTGGGTTCTTTCTCTGAACTTTTCTCCTTGTTTTCTGTGTGTAGTGCCATGCCTCTTTCTCTTGGAGCCATTAGTGTCCACCTCCATCGACTCAATTACTATAAGCAAGATGTGCATTTCCTATGCAACGACAAATGAGAGAAGAAGAAAAAAAAACTGAAATAAAAGACGCTAATGCTGTACACCTCCATGTCTGGTTTCATTTCTTCGCAGGTTCCAACCCATCGCCGTCTAAACCGCCTTATACGAGGTATCCAGAATGAGTTACTGATGTGGATGGTTTGATGAGTACAAAGTGTGCAGTGTGTTGGGAGGCTTTAAGAGATGTTGTGTGTAATCCAGGCACTTTGTGGTTAGTTTGCTGATGCCAGCTGTCTGAGCGCAGATGGAGGCCTGGGCCGCACTGCCGGCGTTCTCTCTCAGATGCCGGTGTCTCGTGTTCATGCCTCGTTTGATGTTGAAGTGCCCCGTGGCCTGCTCTCCGAGAGTTGGATACGGCTCGAGGAAGTGGAATGAAAGCACACTCAGCACAGGAGCTCATCGATACCTCGAGAATGTGTGGAAATAAATGCCTCAACAACATCAACAGATTACCCAAGTTTTTAATGAGGAAGTGATGTTAACATTTATACTGAGAGCATTTAACACAAATGAACTCTTGCAAATGGGTGTGGTGCAAAACAAGATGTCACTCTGTTGGTGGTCATTACTATACACATATATAAAGGTTAAAAAAAATCCCATTTAAATTAAATGTATTTTTACAGTATTTTGATTACTTTATTAATATGTTATTTATTATTATCAGTGTTGTTAATGTTCACTAAAAAAAAAAAAAAAAAAAAAAAAATGTTGCCTTGGCCACTAAGTTGAAGTACTGTTATCAAAACTAAAACTGAAATAAAAAATAAAGCCATATAGAAAAACTAATATACGTGACAAAAGCACATAGCAAAATTAATATGAAAAAATGTAAAATAAAAAAACCTAAATAACTAATATTAAATATTTAAATCAAAACTATTATTGTCTGCATTTAATTATGGTTTTATAAGAAAAAATACCAATTGATTCATACAGATTTGAGTCGAAAAGGTTTTTGTCACTTTGCAACTAAAATATTAGAGTATCAACTAATATCCTGCCGTTTAACTGGCTAAAATTAATGACGATGAAATATTCATTAATTTTAAAGGACATATTCATATAAAACAATGACTAGAATAATACAATTGTGCAAAAAAAAAATGAACACTGTACATACACACGTTTCAAATCAGGCTTGTAAAAAATATTTTAAAGTGGGTATGGCAAAAAAGTAGGTGTAGGGC